AGGAAATAAAAAATGACCAAATAATATCATTATGTAACACCGAGCTTTCACAATTTTTTCTTGCTCGGTAGAGTTTTCGGTTATTACGAGACTACTATGATATTCTCTAAGAAGACGAAGATTAATACCTTGGCCTCTTGATCCTTGTTCAAATAAAGAGACTCCCAAAAGTTCCTCGCATATGGCATTGTCTTGGTTGACTCGGCCATTGACAGCCTTACCGTCGATCGGTAAACCAAATAACATGTACACGTCCTCTAGTGTGACTGTACATTCACCACATGGAAGATGAAAGGTGTGAGTTTCGGGTCTCCATCTCTCCACTAATGCGAGAATAATTTTATAGTCAACATGGTAATTGACTATGTTGAGTAACTGACCAAAACTGGCATGTCGTAAGTACGGTTCAATTTGAACATCGTAAGGGACATACTCATGGACACGAAAACAAAATCTTTTAACATCCTATTAAAAACATGAATTTCGTATAAGAAATACAAGATTTAGGTATAACAATCATAAGAATTAAGGAACAAAAAATTGTCGGCAAAAAATAGGTATTAAGGAAAATACACTTACAAAGGTTTCAATGTTGTTCGGAGTTCCTCTATGTTGATCACTCATGGTCAAGAGAGACATTTTTTCTTGATTACTCTTGTGTTGTTGTTGAGACTTCAAGAAAGAAATAGTGTATGAGTTATGATTGTGATAAAAATATAGGGTGAATGTTACATGTATTTATAGGAAAATCTTGAAGAACACTTTGCATGCAACTTATACACATAGGCGCCACACTAGGTGGCGCATGCTATTCTTTATTACACATAGGCGCCACACTAGGTGGCACATGCTCTCTTTATTGTACATAGGTTCCATTCAACATGACTTCTTGCTTTTTGCATGCATGCAAACCTGCAGCGTGGCAGGGATCAGATGGCATGCATGCAAGTTTTGTTGTTCAATGACAAGCCACCCTAGGTGGCGCATGCATGCAAAAAAAGAAGGATAAGCCAACCTAGGTGGCACATACATACATAAAGAGGAGGATAAGCCACCTAGGGTGGCGCATGCATGATAAAATAGGAGGATTAGCCACCTAGGGTGGCACATGCATGCAGAATATCAGTCTATTTAATCGTCTGTGTAGGTTGCATTACTAGTATACATCTATAACTCACCAAAAACATACCTCAACAACATGGATCATTCATAAAATTATACTATTGTTGCCCATATTAACAATGAGACATTCAACTGTGATAACTTAGGTTTTAATTTCTGTAATACCGATTTTATCCGCTTTCGGATAAACAAGAAATCCAGTTTTGCATGATTCAAAGATAGAGTAGAATCCAAATTGCAGTGTGGTCCAGTTTACCAAATTCTTTACAAGTCCCCAATTCTATTTGACAACAACCAAGTCAAATTTTATCAACTTAAGATGCACGACGGTGATGTTGTTCGAAACATGTTTCAAACTCATGAACAATCCGGGTTCGATGAGATTGAGTTGTATGTTTTATTACAACAACCAGATCAATCTCAGGTGGTAGATCCTTCTCAAGACTTTGAAGAAGAGGATGAATCTGACAAGGACAACCATCCTGAAGTCGATGTTATTGACCAAGAAGAAGAAGATGATGAGGCAATGATTGATTTTATGGTCAATGATGACGCTGCAGATCAAGAGCATGAACCTATACCTGCAAGTCATGCGTACGACCCTCCGTTTCACATGACGAACTTGAACTTGGGGGAAGATGAACCAGCCTCAGATATCTTTCATGATCCTTATATGCAAACCAAAGGGGACTTGAAAGTTGGAGACAAATTTCGAACAAAAGAAGAGTGTCTTAGAGCTATAAAAAAATACCACATGGAAATTTTAGCTGACTTCACTGTAGATAAAAATAATTCAGGGAGGTACGTTATTTTATGTCATTAAAAACCAATTTGCTCTTTTCGGTTAACTGCATCTTACAGGAAGAGAAGTGATTCATGGGAAATAGGTTCCATTGATCCACTCCACACTTGCATCACCACCATTCCGACACAGGATCATCAGAAACTTAGTTCCCAACTAATATGTCAAGAAATCTTGCCTCTTATTTGCAAAGATCCATCATTAAAGGTGAGTACAATTATTTCTCATATCACTACGAGATTCAATTATACTCCCTCTTACAGGAAGGCATGGATCGGGAGGACTGAGGCAGTTGAACTTGTGTACGGTAATTGGGAGGAATCGTACAAAGAACTTCCAAGATTTTTGGTGGCACTCAAATATTATGCTCCGGGAAGTGTTATAATTTTGGAGACACTTCCGGCTTTTACTTCAGACAGAACCCGTGTTAGTGGGAATGGAATATTTCATCGATTGATCTAGGCGTTTGAACCATGCATCAAGGGTTTTGCATTTTGCAAACCTATTATACAGATTGATGGAACTTGGTTATATGGGAAGTATAAAGGAACATTACTCATGGCAGTGGCACAAGATGGGAACAGTAATGTTTTTCTGATTGCCTTCGCTCTAGTTGAAGGTGAGACAAGTGGTGCATGGAATTTCTTTCTGAAGAATCACCGATTACACGTTGCTCCACAACCCAACCTTTGTTTGATTTCAGAAAGACATGTTTATTGCATTAGACATATCACACAAAACTTCACGCTTCATATCAAAGACAAGACACTTCGAAAGAAAGTTATTAATGCAGGGAATGCCTTAACATAACCGTCATTCCGATACTATCGCGAAGAAATCCGGTTGGAAAATTCAGAAGCATTAAGGTGGATAGATAACATTCCAGTGGAGAAGTGGACTCGGGCATTTGACAATGGTCAACGATGGGGCCACATGACAACAAATTTGGTGGAATCATTGAACTCTGTATTCCAAGGCATCAAAAACCTACCAATTACCGCTTTGGTTAGAGCAACATATTTCAGAATGGGATCATTGTTTGACACAAGAAGTTCAAAATGGAGGGCAGTGTTACAATCAGGGCAGTTGTTCAGTGAATACACGATGAAAACATTTAACGAGGAGGTTGCAAAAGTAAACACCCATAGTGTCACCGTGTTTGACCGTATTAAAGGTTGGTTCAGTGTACAAGTGACACTGGATCATAATGAGGGGAGGCCAAGGGGATATTATCGAGTTGAACTAGATAGAGGTTGGTGTGATTGCGGAAAGTTTCAAGCATTTCGCATGCCTTGCTCTCATGTCATAGAGGCATGTTCGCATGTTCGCTTGGACCCAATACAACATATATCCCCGTGTACACGGTAAAGAGCGTTTTAAGTGTGTACATCAATACATTCTTTATGTTGGCAAAAGAGGATTACTGGCCTGCTTATGAAAGGGACATTGTTTGGCATAATGAACAAATGCGACGGAAGAAAAATGGGCGCCCGAAAAGCACTCGTATTAGAACTGAAATGGATACAGCCAAAAAATGATAAGATTATGCGGTACATGTCGTCTTCCCGGACACAATCAGAAAAATTGTCTGAATATTAGGTCTAGCTCTGCAACATAACTTTTTAATAGCAAACTAGCTGAAGTGTTTAATTTGTTGTACGCAATATATTTCAATTTAAATTTGAGTTATCATTTCGTGTTCAATTTATCATTCGATTACACAACTTTCACATCACGACACAAAAAATCATAACACCACATACTCAGGACAACAATACGACAACATGATAAACAGACAAAACAACTAAACAAATCATAATATCTAAGAGATAAAGACCATCAACACAATATCCTCTGGTCCAAGCATCATCATCATGACATCAGCGTCGCATCTCACCTTTTTCCATGACCGACTTACTCCATTTTCGTTCCTCACTGTGATGTGCCTTTCTATTTTTCTGATTTGTTCACCTTCAGGAATGTCTCCTTCCAACTAGCGAATCAAGTACCTCTGAAAATGCTCGAACGTCTGTGTGTTCCAGAGTTTGATCTTCACCGGAGGTTTTTTCGCTGAAAAAATAACATGCGCATCTCTTTTGATCAGTGAAAACTTTGGCAAGGGAGTTGAAGACATTTTTTAAGAGTTATGTAACAAGTGGTGTGGGAAAATGAAGAGGATGGGTGGTTGTATTTATAGAAAATTACAATTACACTGTCAAGTCAAGAAGGGTGGCGCCTCCTCTCAAAAACACATGCATGTGCCACACTGCATGACTTTATAGAGGAGAACAAGTCATGCAGTGTGGCGCCTCCTCTTTAAATTGAGTGCATGCGCCACATAGAGTGGCTACTCCTCTGTGTGACAAATTTTTTTTATTTGAAAAGTGATCATTTTAATAAAATTTTTGAAAATGTAATTATTTGAATTTTTTTTTTGAAAAAGATGGTTATTTAAAAAAAATTCAAAAATGTGTATTCTCTCATCTTTATTTATTTTTTATTTCATTTATCGGCGCTGCATGCATGCATAGATGTCCCACATTTTCATTGACCAATGCAATATTAATTAGAAATTAACTATTTAAAAAATATTTAAAAAAATAGATAATGTTAACGTATATTCCAAAAGCATATGTTAAGAATTAAATATAAAAATATTTTATTTTTGAAAATTATGCAATACATTTATTAAAGTTTTATAATTAATTTTATTGTTTTTTCAATACAAAATTTTCATTTTTAAGTTTCTTAACTAACATTACCCTTTCTTTATTACTCCTAAAAAAACTTTAATAAAATTTAATTTTTATTTAATATAAATCTTATAAATTATTCTAAATATCTTTTTTGTGTAATCCTAATTATATTAATCTAAATTATTTCCATTATAAAAAAATATTTCCATTTCTATGTTTAACATTTTTCTTAATTTTGTGTTTTAAAAAAAATAGTAATAATTTTGGGTATTAGCTCCTATAAATCAACCCTCACACTCACATTCAATACCATCACCTCCTTCCCCACTCTATCTCTCTCCCTCTTCCTCTTTCTAGGTTACTTTCTCTTAGACATGGAAATGGCCAAAACCCTAGCATTGTTGCTACTCTTCCTCCAACTAACTTCTTTCACTTCATTTGCTGAAGACCTTGAGTCTCTTCCCCCAACTTACCCTCACACACCAGCTCCCCTTCATCCTCCAACTAAGCCACCGGTTCACCCACCGGCAAACGCCCCTCACCACCATCACCACCACAACCACAACCACTCACATTCCCCAGCTCCCACCCCTGTCCACACTCCTTACCCTCCTCACTCACCAGCTCCACTTCACCCCCCAACTAAATCACCAGCTCACCCACCTGCTCAACCCCCAACCCACGGCCATCACCACCACCACCACCACCCTCCTGCTCCTGCCCCTGCTCACACGCCTGTCGTTCCAACTCACCCTCCTTTACACCCTCCTGCTCCTGTTCATTCACCACCACCGCATCCTCCTACTCCTGCTCATTCACCACCACCTCATCCTCCTGCTCCTGCTCACTCACCACCACCTCATCCTCCTGCTCCTGCTCCTGCTCACTCACCACCACCACACCCCACTCCCATCCCTAGAAGCTTCATTGCTGTTCAAGGTGTTGTTTATGTCAAATCATGCAAATATCCTGGTGCTGACACGCTCTTGGGAGCTTCATCACTTCTTGGTTTGTTTCTTAACTTTTTAACTTTCTCTTTGCGCCTAACCCCCATTTTATGCAAATATTGTGTTTTAAATCTTTTTTTTCTCTCAGTAATTTTTTGTCAATTTATTTTCCTAGATCTAGTATTTTACAGTGATTCTTTCAACTTTAGAACATTTTTTCACTCTCTTTCACTAATAATTATTTTTTATTTGTGTGGCTAAGATCAGTGTGCAAAGTATAGCTAGATCTATAATGTTGTTAAAACAGTTTTTTACATTTTTTTTATAAATCTCTATCTAGCTTTTTTTCTCTTTTAGTAATATTTTATTTGTTTTTTTATATAGGCAATATTTTATTTGTTTGAATTTTGAGACATATTATATAGACTACCTAAAATAGATAAATATTTAATGAATTTAATTGCGTGAAAAGAAAAAAAAACATGGTTATTTAAAACAACATTAATTACGTAAAAAAAAAGTTATGTTCCCCGCAAAAACTTTATTAATGTTTGTAATGAAGGGAACAGTGTGGGTTTGTGTGTTATAATTAAAACATAAGAATCCAAGGTTAGAGAAAAAAGTTTTAAACTAAAGCTACTTTGTCGTTTTAGTAAAGCTGCACGCTTACTGAGAACACTACATAATTTCTTACGTACTTTTTTATTGACATGACAACGTTATGTATATTTTTGTCGATAAACGACAATGGTAATAACTATGTTGGTTTGAATTTGAAGGTGCCGTTGTGAAGCTTCAATGTAACAACACAAAGTACAAGTTGGTGTTAAAGGATGAAACTGATAAGAATGGTTATTTCTACATTGAAGGCCCAAAGAGCATTACTAGCTATGCGGCTCATAAGTGTAATGTTGTGTTGGTTAGTGCACCTAATGGGCTTAAGCCTTCGAATCTTCATGGTGGTGTTAGTGGTGCTGTGCTTAGGGCTGAGAAAGCTTTTGTGTCTAAGGGTCTTCCTTTTGTTCTCTACACTGTTGGGCCTCTTGCATTTGAACCCAAATGTTAGGATTTGGAAAATTTGGAGTTTTTTATTTTATAGATTGATGTGTTGTTTAGGAGTTTGGTTTGAGTTTGTGTTGAAATATGATATGATGTTAGGTGCTTGAATTATCAATGCGTAATAAGGGGAGACATTATGTGTGTGATTGATGGTTCTTGTAAGAATTCAGTATTTAAAATATTGATGTTTATCGCTTTTGTGTATTCTAATTCTCCGTTCTACTATCACAAAGTTGTCACATTTCTACAACATTCCACATGTAATTTAAAGAATGCATTTTTCAATTCATCAAATGATGGTTTACTATTTAATTTAAAATCACTAATCTCATTTTGTTCTTTCTTATTTTTTTTTAATTGAAAGGTGAACTTTGTTGTCCTCCCATGTAACATAAGTCTTCATTGGTTTGAAGTCTTTCTTTCCTTGTAAGTCATGTAAAATCTCAAGATTCAATTGTTTTTTTTAAGCAAGTTTCATTAAGCCATGTAAAATCTCAAGATTCAATTGTTTTTTTAAGCAAGTTTCATTAAGAGAACAAAAGTTCTCAAACCCAATTACAAAAAGGGGAGGCAAAAAAAGAAAATATGGAACCCCAATTGAAACCTAAAAGATAAAACAAAGGGTTTTTACAAAATTCATAAAAGTTACAATTGGTAAGAATAATATTTCCTATATAAGACCAGCTCCACAACAAAGCCTTGATGTTCCAAACTACATTCAAAATGATCCAAGATTCCTCCCTAAAAGTAATACCATTCTTAATAATCCACAAACTCCAAATTGTTGTCAACCAAACACATCCTTCTTTCCTTTTTTTAACTTTTCTGTGTTTGTAAAAATGGCTCCACTTCAAAAAACTATTCATAAAACCATTCACCTCAAAATCAACAAAATCAATCCAACCGGCCACCTCCTTCCAAACCAATCTGACGATACGACAAAATAACAAAGAGTGAGTCGCGGATTCGGAAGCAACATTACAAAAAACATAAGAGATATCATTAGTATTATTAAAAATACCCTGAATAGCAAGCAAATCTCTAGTTGGGATTCTCTATAAAGCACCGACACTCGAAAGCTTTTATCTTGTGAGGTACATGCATCTTCCAAACCTCCACGAAAGCTTTGTCAAAAATATTCACCGGACCAAACGATATATGAGACAAATTAAGGAACTCATACCATCCCTTAATCGAGAAAACATGATCCGCGTCATCTTTCTACACTATCTTGTCTCTAGTTTCTGCACAAGGATAAAAAGAGTGAAGCATAATGCGTAAAGAGTGCAAACTCGCAGACACTAGGAGGTTGCCCAGAGGATGAACACCAAAGTCTCCCCACTCACAAACTCCGTCAACCCAACCTCCCATTCCTCCTCAAGATTCAATTGTAATAAGGTTGCATAACTTAAAAAGTTCAAAGTTTATATTTAAAATCTCAAGAAAATCTCGTGAGTACAGGAGTAGATCAATGGTCACAAAACCTGAATAAATATCTGCTGAAAATCTCTAACTCATATACTTCTTATTTTTCTGTTATTTACTTTATCCTCAAGAAAGGGCTAACACAATTTCAAGTGTAATTGAGAAAAATACTAAAGTAATAACAAATTTTAAATACCACAATTCACCTTTATCTTGTGATTAAAGTCACTTGTCCAACAAGCGACATTAGAACTTAACTCATGTTAAAGACTAATCGTCCCAGGAGGAAAAACATTTTCAACCTATTTACTAAACAAACCCATGTCCTTTAAGAGAAAAAAGTATATTTGGTGGAAAGAAAAAAATGAAAATTTTCATAGAATAGATGGATTGTTGTATTCGAAAGACTGTGAAAGAAGGTTCATTTATTCTTACACACGATGTCAATGGTGTGGTAGTAAACAAATTTAAAAAGGATTGAACCAAAGATGATAAAGCGAATGCGCAACGTGGTTTGTAAGCAAAAATTGTCATCACCACTGCTTTCGATCTTGATTAATTTTTATGAGTTTCTCACTACAAGAGTGCAAAAAAAAGTGGAACATCCTCCAAATTATCTATGAAGGAACTATTGAGATAAAGAGGGCAAGGTTGGACACATTAACCCTTAAGTATGAACTCTTCATAATGAAACCTAAAAAGAGCATAAATTAAATGCAAACATGACTCACCTATGTCGTTAGTCTTGTGAGAACTCTGGAAAAACATTCTCAAATGAGAAATTAGTCATAAAATTTGTTAGATGCTTAAATTGAACCTGATAACCCAAAGTCAATGCTATTTGTAAATATAAGGATTTAACGACTATGGACATACACACACACACACACACACACACACACACACTCTCTCTCTCTCTCTCTCTCTCTCTCTCTCTCTCTCTTGCTCTCTCTCTCTCTGGTAAATTGAAGAAACACGAAAATGAAACTCAAAAGGCTTTCCATAGATGAAGAAGGATAAAAGAGAAACAAAATTCTATCAATTAAAGTTGAGGTATATGATTCTGATGGTGACATGTCTCTCATAGTAAATATCTTTAGAAGGTTCCTAAGAAATGAGAAGAAGCAAAAAGAAGAGCAAGAAAAAGATGAAGAAAAAATCATCAATTCCAACATGCTACAATTGTGGAAAGAAATTACATATCAGAACATATTGTCCCCTAATCAAGAAAGCAAATAAAAAATTTATTTGCATGGGGCGACAATGATGTGGAATCCTCGGACGATCAATAAGAAGAAAAAGTCAACATATGTCTCATGAAAAATCATTAAGAGAATGAGTTAACCTTTAATTCTCCTATCATGATCTTTTTTGAACTTGTAAGAAACTAACTAAAGAAGTAAGTAAACTAGAACAAATTATTTCTACATCTAAAATAATATTTCCTCTATTGAACTTAAAAATAAACCTTGAAAGAGAGATAGAAATCCTTAGAGAGAGACAAAATAATTCAGTTCAAAATCCCCCCCACTTCAAACGATAATGATGAAACTGACAAGTGCAATGAATGTGATAACTTAAAAAATGAAATTTACGATCTTCAAAAAAACACTTGTCAAGTTCACCAAAGGAAGAGATAACTTGAATATTTTGTTAGAAAATCAAAGAGCCTCTTGCAACAGAGTCAGACTTGGCTAAGAACCAAATAATAATAGTAAAAAATTCGATAACATTGGCTGCAGATGATGAACACAAACCTTAAATTTTTTCAACCAAAGCATTCCATGTGGTCAAAACATTCATGTTCAACTGCGGATAATGCCAGAACTTCCCATGCCAGAGGACCTTCAAAGACGTGCCACCACCACCACCACCTGGTATGGCAAACCAACAACATTTATAGATGATAACGCTTATTTCAGATAAACTCGTGGGTTTGATAAACCCAAATGACGAGGTTTATGCTTTGGCATCACATATAGCACACATTGTTTGTGGCGGACCTGTGTAGATTTTATTATTTGTGTGTTATTTTTGGTTTTTCAATAAATTATTTATATATTATTGACACTTTAACTTAAAATTTCATTAGATGGACATTGTGTAACATTACATTATTGCAAGATTAACATAACTTAATACGAACATTGTTGAACATTACATAACTAAATAAGAAAGTAACATAACTTAACACGAGCATTGTTGAACATAACATCACTTAACAAGAAAATAACAAAAAAAATTAAACAATACTAGATGACTATTTTAACATCTTGATAACATCATCGACAAATCTCATAATTGTCGCATCCACCTCGATCAAACCCTTTGTTTTGTATCGGTGATATGTATTTCACGTGGCTTTTAAATCTTCATATCTCTCTTCAGGTCCAACTTATTGAACATAATCTTCCCTTCATTGTTGATTGATGGTGAATGATACTCGATTTTAACCACCTTTATATTATCGGTATGGTGTAGGAGATTAACCAGTTTAAATTTCGTAACGTCAAGTGGGATTTTCTATGTGATCCCAAAATCAACAAGAGGTTTTACGCCGTTGAAGTATACTAATGCGAGATATCAATATTGAGACATTCTGAGATGATTTTTAACAACATATGATGCATATCTATATAAGTTTGGAATCATTATGGACCATACAATTTTTTGATGCAATCAAATCCCTACAAAAGTGTCGGTAAAATCTCAACCATTGAAAATTAATAGTACCGAATTTTTCAGGGTTATGGGAAAATTTTGGTAATCACTAGAGTTTTTTTTTTTGTTTGAAAAAACACCAGTAAATTAACACTACCAGGTTTTTCAGGGTTATGAGAAAAATCTGGTAATCTTTGAAGTTTATGAAAAAAAACCCGATGAACTTTGCCACACATTGAATTTTTTTTAAAAATCGATAAAAGTGGATACCAATTTTTTTATTAGCCTGTCAGAATTTTTATTGCATACTAGAATTTTTATTAACCTACAAGATTATTCGTACGAAATTTTTAATGAAATAAATGAGAGAGAGATTTTTTATATTAAGAAAAATTGAGAGTGCCAGATAAAACTAAATGGGTGGTATAGTGAATTCTCCATTTAGTAAATGATTTAATTTCCTTTACACCCCCAAGAAAGAAGTTAACCCAATACTTGAGCTTCAAAATCGATATTTTTATCTGCCACCTCCCACACTTAAATCTGGCACCACGATAATTTTTTATAATACTCAAATTACCTTTGTCATATTTTTGGCGCACAAAAAATCTGGTATCAATAAAAAAACTGGTAGTGTAGATGAAAAATATGGTACGTGGAAAAACATACAATTTAAAAAAGAACAACATGGTTTACGGATATTTTGCAAGACATTGAAAAATCCATTAGTGTAAAATCATTAGTTTTTTTTAAAAAGCTCATGCATTTACTAGACTTTTAGAAGGGCTTCAAAAATCTGGTAGTGTAATTTTACAACGTCAAAAATTTTGTCAGCAGTTTTGTACGACTGTGATTGCACCAACAAATTTGTGCGGTCTATAATGAATCTAAACTTGTATAAATATGGATCATGTGTTGTTT